AAATTATGTTTTCGTTATACCCATTAAATTTAGCTATTTCTTTTATAACCACCAATTCTTTATCAAAATCTATTTTATTCATCGGAATATTAATTAATCTGTAAACCATACTATTAAAAGCTGACAATTTGTGTTGCCACGTGTGGTTCGATGTGTTCGGAATGTATCTAAACGTGTGTGTGTTTTTTCGATAAATTTCAAAATTTAGTTCCCCCTCTGTTCTTTAAACTAATAAATCCAAAAAAGGCAATTTTCCGTCTACTTCTTGTTCATATGTAAATTTAATCGATGGGTAATAAAAATTTAAATGTTGTATAAAAACCCCATATTAAAATCTTTATTTATAACTGCAAAAATATCATCTATTATTCTAGATATTCATAAAATGGCCAATAGTTTTTAGGAATATCATGAGAGTATGTTACTGCATTATGTTAATGCAATCAAGTCACTTTTTTTCTAGAGAAATTTTTGGTTCCTTATTTAAAGCTATCAATTTATGTAACCAAATATTACATGTTACCAAATAATGTATAATATTATAGGCACACACACAAATAGAGTTAAAAAATTACAAAGTATAATTATTTAATTTTATAGTTGACACCTATTGTCATATCAAACCTAAGTCGACAGAAAATGTTTAAAAATATTAGTAATGAATGATTTTAATTGTCTGTATGGAAAATGTGAGCTAAGTAATTTTTTAATTGATAAAGTGGAAATTTTTTCAATTTTTGAGGGTAATGTCTTCGACTAAATATGATTTGTGATCTTTTGACGTATCGTTGAAAGAAATCGGCCCAGTTAAAGCTGATAAAAGTGGCAACAGACAAAAAAAAATACATCATGGTAAAATTAATACCTTCTCAGCTTTACATCGAAGATAATAATTGAATAATAATACAATTATTGATATTATCGTTTATAAATTGGTTATCAAAATGCAATAGAAGTTTAAACAATAATGCAATCATTATAGTCACAGCTATTACAATTGATAAATAATTTCTGGTAAATACAATGTAGTTAATAATTCAATATTGTAGCAAGTATACTTTGAATTGGTAATGACAAATAAACGTCTTTAATAATTTAACTTTTTTTTATTGGGGTATGAACTGAATTTAATTCGAGTATAAGAAAAAAAGGTGCAATTATCTAATTTTTAATATTTTTAAAGTTTTTGCAGTTTTGAAGTGGATATCTAATTATATTAGATTTTATGTTATGGGTCTTATCCCTATAGGTATAAAAAAATGATATAGAAGTTTTGCGTTAGACATTTTTGTATAAGAACGCAATTTACCTAATATCTCTAGGATATAACAAATCGTAAAAATATGTTTCTATTCCTTTTTATTTTAACAAATAACTAACAAACTAAAACATTCTGGGTTTTCTCTATGCCTAGAAAAATATCCTACCCTGGAACTGCCATAAGGCATTACGTCATGATGGCAAAACTTATTAACAAGTACATAAAAAAATTGAAATAGTTTTAACCTTTCTTTCTCTCAGGATACTTCGGGTTGTTTCAATAAAAGTATTGAGAATTGTATAAATTAAATATATATTGATAATAAACTTACCTTGTGATGTGCCTCTAAATTCTAGTAATGAGCCAATTAATGGATATGATGGAGGCCCTGGTATTTTAGCTGCAAATCTATCAATAAGCCTACGATTCCATTTGATGCGGCACCAAGTAATAGATAAAAATATTATAATAACGTAACCAACTAACTCAACTTTTGTTTGCCAAAACACACACAGTGGATTTGAATACGCTAATGAAGTATAAAATGTGACATTCATATTTATTTTTTTCTAACAGCGAAACTTTTCAAAACAAGTGAACAAGCTAGAAATAAACAGAATTTTAATTTAATATTTTACAATGTAAGAAAATTGGAATAAATCGACACAATTTATACAATTTTTTTATGAGATTTAATATAAGATATAAAATGTGATACAATGGAAAATAACTTTTTCTTGCATAAATTAATTTAAAATTATCATCGTTATTGAATTTATTAAATAGATACCGGTTATTATTAATTTAGCGTTACCCTGTGAAACGAATCATAATAGGTTAGAATAACTTATAGATATAAAATTAATAAAATAATGAATTATTAAAAACACAATGGGCGATATAAATATATATTTATATTAATGTACTTTTTTTTTTAATATATAANGGCTTTTTGAAATGACCGATTCAAGTATATTAAATATAGAAACCATAAGAGCTATAAATAGCCTAAAAAACTGGAAGTCCCCAAGATCAGATGGGATTCCAGAAGAACTATTAAAGTATGGAGGCATTGATGTACACAAAATAATCCATGAATTGTAGTATCACATTTTAATACATGTAATAATTAATACTTATATTTAATAAAATACATCACCAAATCAGTGTTTCCCCGTGGATAAGATGAGTAATAAAATAATACCCTTACACAAGATTTAACCTCCCATTCCATAAAATGCCCACGTATAAGATTCTATCACATTAACCAATCAAATACAGCAAAAAATATTTCAAGAATCTCACCAGAGATCGCTAAACCAGTTTTGCAGGCTATAAAAAGGCCATTTTCCCCCAAATTCGGGTGGTTCCTCTGTGCTTGGTTCTCTTACAGTGATTATGTACGATTTCTGAACATCCCTCTAGCGGATACTGGGACGCCTTGCCATTCCATCTATGCATCTCTACGGCTCTCTGGAATACTCAACCAAGATACAAAAAGTGAATGTGCGTGAGTTTATCTTTCATTCTTAGCTACAATTCTATATGAAATCTACATAATTTTTACCCCCTTTCGTAATTACTGAAAATATTATACATCTTATTTTCGGTTGAATACTTTTGGTGATATAAATATTCTAACACATATAAAATATTGGTGTTTATTTATTTCTTTTTATTTACATTTATATTCATATATATATAAGCATATTCTAAGGTAATTAATTTGATTGAATTGTATTTATTACTTATTGAAGGGCCACAACCTGGCTGGACAG